AAAATACTTACCAAAAGACTTAGCAAAATCCTACAAAAAAATAATGTCCTAAAAAAAACCAACTTTGTTGGTCTTCCAAACCAAAGCATATTTGAACCAATCCAAATAATAAACTCTATATATAACACTAAAAAACTTTCATATGAAGAACTTTGGATTCTTTCACTTGACATCAGTGCAGCTTTTGACTCCATTAATCTAAACATGCTCAAAAAATCCATGCAGAGACTTCACATCCCTGACTCTTTTATCAAACTTTCTCTTAACATTCTTGAAAACTGCACATGCCAAATTATTACCAATACAGGACTAACACAACAAATCACTATCCCTGATGGAATCAATTAAGGAGAAATGCTCTCTCCTCTTTGGTGGAATATTTTTTATGATCCTCTCATCTCTATCCTTATACAATAAAAGTCACAACTTCCATTTAACACAATTGCATATATGGATGACCTCAACCTCCTAGCAACTTTTAAAGAGAAATCCAATCAAATCTAAACATAGCCTCAGAATTTTTTGAACTTAATAACATCAAAGCAAACTCCTCAAAAACAAAACTTATAGTATTAAACAACTCATTATCAGATAAAAGCCTAACACAAATCAACACAACCATTTATTCAACTCAAAAAAAAAACCAGTCAGAATTCTTAGAGTTTGGATATCAGAATACAGCATTGTTATTTCTAACCACATTAAAATAGTAGAAGAAATCAAAAACCTAACACAAGCCCTCAGTTCAAAATACACAACAGGTCCAATGGTCACATATATTGTGAGGGGCGTAATGGCGAGTCAGTCGCTAAGGAAGACAAAGTTTCGCGTAACGAAGGTAAGTGTGAGTAATACTTAAGGTGAAGGAAGCGTGTTTTGATTTGGGCGAGTATTATTCAGATATTTTTATTATTCGTAATATCGTGTGTGTCTATGTGTGTGTCTTTATTAATTTTTCATCCATTCTTTTTATACATCTTTTTATTTACAGAGGCTAGTGCGGCTATACTCTTAAGAACAATGGTTAGGCTGAGTTCTATATTACCTAAGTTCTTTTATTACAATCCTTTCTTTCTTCCCCCGCATTATATAATCGCGCACTGCCAACCAAGAACCAGTTTCCCTTGTGTACCATTCGTGACGATCAGTCACGTGATACGCGACGCATCTCAACTTACCCCCTTACAATATATACAACAAAGTTCTCCTTCCATGTATTGAATTTAAACTCCAAGCAACCTTTTTAACTCCAAATATGCTTAAAAACTTTCAAAGGAAAAATGACTCTATAATCAAACACAAATTCAAAATTGAAAGAACACTTCCTCAAAACTGGTTTTACAATCCTAACATCTTTAACATCAAACCAATATCTGATCTACAATCTAAAGTTCTAATCTTCAACCTTCAATATTTATTCACCAATCCAACAATATTCCTATCCAAGGAACTTGAAATAAAAACCATTTAAAAACACAACTGTCAATCTCTCTGCATCCTTAAAAACAATCCAGTTCATACACATAACACTACAATATTCTTTATCCTTCTAGCACATCAATATAATATAACATTCTGCCAAACTTCTCAATGCTCTCACAAATTTCCAGTAGGCTCTACCTCAATTTATTTCATCTTAGGCTTATATAAAAAATGGTCAGTCTTTATCAAACAACTTTCAAAAAAAGGAATATACTATATCGAACAACTTCTCAACTTTAACAACAACCAAATTACAAAATGAAACCATATCTTCGCAAGACTTGAATATAATATTCAAGGCAAAACACCTCTATGGTATACAATTCTCTCTCAAAATCAATATACAACAAAAGGAGCTATTCCAGCCAAACCAAATCAAAGAGAAAATAGATTGCTTTTCTTGAAAACAACACTCTTATTTTTGGAAAAAAACAAAAAATCAATAAAAACAATATACTAATTAATCACTGGGTTACCACCAACAATGATCCCAACCAATCCATTATTCTTTCAAAATGCACTGGCTGTCAACACAATATCTTAAACAATTCCTACGAATGTCAACTTTTCTCAAACCAATCCTTTAATCTATTTATTAAACCTACTGACAACAATAATATAAAAACCAAAATAATCAAACCTGACCTACTCAATACATTTCTCTTCAACCAATTAAATGAACTTTCAAATTTACCACAAATACTTATTCCATTAGATATCCAAGAAACACTAATCCAAAAACATATATCTACTTCTTCACAAGAAATTCTCAAAACAATAAACTTTCCTCCTAATCCAAATCCCGAAATTCTTCCAACTTATAAATATCTGACCAATTCAACAACAATAATATGGAATTTTATCCATCACAAAAAATCTTACACAACAAGCTTTGCCCTCTTCCCTTACCTATCTCTTCTCTATTCTCTAATTTTTATTCTTCTTACCAATAATACAAAACAAATAATTTTCTTTTGCAAACATCCCAAAATCTCTAATAAACTTTTAATACCACTATCAACCAATTATCGGAAAAAGTGCAAACTTCTTTTTGCTTCAGCCATCAGCAATATCCACAATATTATTCAAATGTTACAAATATTTTGTACTTTCTATAAACCCACATCAGCAATAACAAATATACAATCACATAACACAACCATATCACAGCTTAATATTATTAATCCTTTTTCTTTACTTTACACTCTATCAAATCTCCAAAACAATCCACTTCCTCCAATTCGTAATTAAATCAAAAAAATAAACAAAACAATCTAGCTAGTTAATATAGTTCATTCAAATAGAGCAAAAACCATTTTTAAACCAAACTTTTCACTCCTCCTATAAATTTTAACATTCCTCAAAAAATTATCACTTCTAACTACACAAGCACAATCTAAAATATATAACTTCCATCTGAAAATCCTCTCCAATACACTTCCAACCAAAACCCACTTACATTCCACTCTTCCACATTTTTATACTAATGATTTTTGCCCACATTGTAATATGTCTCCCGAAATGACACATCATGTCTGGCTTTGCAAGGAAAGTCACCCAGCAATAATTCAAATTATTAATAACACTATAGTACAGACCACACTCTCCTTCAGGAAAAATAAAAACTTTGACCCAATAACCTTCCAACAACTTGTCAATTCTCCTCTTTCCTGCATAAATCTAGCTCTTGGACTTTCAAACATCAACTCCTGCTTCAAAAATCTTAAACCATCTGTTACAGACTTAAAAATATTTAGTGAACTACAAAATGACCTTCTCAACACAATCTATCAGGAAATCAGGATTCCCAAAAACAAAAATATGATTGAAGAGGAAGAAAAATATAATATCTTCCACTCTGACAAACTAAAAAAAAACAATCCAACATATTCTTCAAATATAAAAACCAAGAGAAAAAACTCTCTAGCAAATAATTCTCCCAACTCTAATTCAAACAAACTTATTAATATAGTTACCAAAACATATTCAGAAAATCTATCCATGCCTTTCTCAGATAGAATAAATTATTAAGAAGGCATTAGCCCTCCAAACATAGATAGTTTCTTTTGTTTTCCTTTTCATAAAAGGTTTTTTCACAAAATATATCTATATGGTGATAGGCTGACATGTATAGTAGTGTATCTCAAAATCTAAATATTAATTATATACTGAATATTTCTTACTCAATTAATAAAGATCATAAGAAATGTCTCACTTAACATCTAAAAAAAAAACTAACTATATAATTGAGTTAATAATAGTATAACAGTTTTAAAGTAGTTAATATCAATACTACAGTAGTTGTACTATATATATATATAGTAGCCATTATAAAAAATACACCATTTATATATTTTTTGCTTAAAAAATAATAATTTTAATAAAATAGTAATTATGTTTTATATAATTTTATATTTAAATAGTTAATAAATCATTTAATTTAAATATATTGTATAAATTATTTATTTTTTAAAATTAAATTAATTAAAAAAAAGTTTAATTTTATAATTTTTACTGATGTTATTTTTTTGAATTTTTTTTAAAATAAATTTATTAACAAAATATAACATATTTATTTATTAAAATTTTAAAAAAATTTATAATTATATACTATCAATCAATATAACTTCCTTTAACTACAATAATATTCTTAATTCTATATGACATATTTCAATTATTTTTTACAAAATTCTATTATTATTAAAAACTATATATTTTTTAATATTATTAATTTCTACTTCATTTAACTTTTTCCTGTTCATATATGACAAAGCAACCAATCCAAACAAAAAAATAACAAGCAACTCAAGGAACAGTAAAGTTCCTAACAAACAAACAGACAAAGCTCTCAGATACAAAAAAAGAACAGTTAAAAAAGTAATTTTATTCAAAACCCAACTGTATGCAAAGAAATTTAACACCCAAACAAAACAATTACAAACTCTTACAATTCAAAGTAACTCCAAACAGTCCTAACCCTCAATAGCCCCAAACCAAGAAGTTTTATATACTCACTAAACAAGATAACACAGCAAAACAGAAGCATAACAGAATTCTCTGCCCAAAGAAAGCTGGAACGAACAGGCAGCAAGTAATAGGATAGTCAAAAAAACTGAAAACCAACAAAGACCACCCAAATTTTAAAGTATAGGAAAAATCCTTGCAAAAAAAAAACAAAATAAGCAGAATCGATGATATAAACACAGAAATGAATAGTGAAAGCAAAACCAAACAAGACCAATCATAGTTACTATATTGAAAGAAAAAGGCAGGCAAATAGGCTCCAAGGAGACAAACAAACCAAGACTCATTTCCTCCTTCGATAGAGTGGTTAGATATGGTAAAAAAAGATATAAGATAGGAATCACAGCAGATGAACTCTCAGGAAAGACAACATATCAAAAAATCAAACAGGTCATCCTTGCACTCAACTCTTCTGAGGGATTGCTTTCAGTCTGCAGTAAAGAGAAAATGAGGAAATGCAGATTGTAGCCATCTTTGATGATCAACAGGCAGCGGAACAAGCAACCACTATCAAATTATCAAATACAGATAACAAGTTCCTCCAATATATGCAATCAACAAACCAACAGATTGAAAAAGACAAATCTATTATAGTTTGGAACATTCCTATGAACACAAAAATTGTTGAAGTCAAACAAACATTTGTCAAATATGGAGCAATTACTGGAATTACAATAAAAACTCAAAACCTTTGACAAAATACCACAATTACATTTGACAGTGCATCAACCAAAAAATAAATTAGTGGAACAAAAAAGTGTACTAATCAAAGGAGACTCAGTAAGAATAAATGATGCAATATGAACACTTCTATAAATAAAGGTAAGACATGAAAATGCAGTCAAATTAGTTAACTTACCATCCAACACTATACCTAAAAAATATCATTACACAAAGCAAGAAGCTCACATATTATATTTCAAGAACATCAGGCCCTAGTATATAAATGGAAAAGATTTGCAGTCATCAGTTTTACCAACAAAGAAAATCTTCTAGAAGCAATATAGAATCAATGCATTCTAGAAGAAACAGAGATATATTTCATATTAATCAGCACTAAATTATATGCTATTTTCAACCTAGACATCTATCTTGTCAAGAATTGCTCATCAAAAATGAAACAGCAACAATGGGATAATTATTATGAAGAATAGGCAGCCAAATTTGGATCCTTATACAATAAATACAAACCTGCCAAAACAACAAAAATTTGAAACATAAACATCTCTAAGCTGAATAACAACACCAGAAATGGATCCTTTGCAGACATAATTAAGCAACCAAACTTTATTAACCAAAACCCAACAACTAATAAAATTGTCAAAGCATTACAACAAATCCAACAACAATTATCAAAATTAAAAGAAAAAATGATAGAGATTGATGAAGGAATCACAATCTCAAGTTTTACAATGAAAAATATTACAAAACAATGGAGATGAAACAATCAATATTCCAATTAGTAGCAACAATAGCCAAGAAGATAATGCCCTATAACAACAAATACAAGAAAAAACAATCAAAGAAATAAAAAATCAACAAACAAACCTATTTGTATCAGTAGATAGAATACAAAACAATATCAATTGTTTAATATTAATAATCGACACAATGACAGAAAACCAAACCTCCAATACCTTTTTTATTCAATAATATAGGAAACACTAATAGTCAATATAATGAACAAAATCAAGACAATCAAAATGCAAACAATATCGAGAAACAACTGGACAATTTAGAAACACAAATTAACAACCAACTTAATTGGTCAAACTCAAATTCTAATATAGAAGACAACAATATATTGTAACAGGTAAAATTGGAATATGATGTCCGTTATGTAACCAATTGTCGCATTAGTATCCCAACTAAAGATGGGTCCCTAAATTATTTGTGAGGACATAATTTAAATGTTCCTTATTATTAAAAATTTTCATTTCTATATTAAGAAATAAAAAAAAACTACCTACAAAGGTTCTTTATAGTTTTAAGCATCTATACAAATTATTTTTGGAATTATGTTCCTATTGAAATAAAAAGCTAGAAATTATATCTTCTAGGAAACATAAATGTAAAGGAATGTAAATTTTATATACTAAATACTTTAGGAACCCATTTTTATCTATAAGGTCTATAATCTATGAAATTATGACATTATGATATATAGATTAAACAGTCCAGACAGTCCAGATAATCCAGATAGCCTAGATAACCTAGGATAGAAAACACTATATAAGTAGCTATTGTTTATGTAATTTTCAGTCAATTTTTAATAAACTTATTTTTAGAATTATTTGAATCTCTGATTTGGTGTCTTAATAAAATGCTAATATTTTATTAAACATATTATAATTATAAAGATTTATTGGAAAATCTTTATCATATTTTATAATATTTGAAAAAGATTATTTTTGAAATAACAAACTGTTCTATATAATCTTTAATTCCTTTTAAAAACTATTACTTGAATACAGACAAAAAAAAACTCTTTCCCACTTCCAACAAAATCGTAAAAAATTTTCTTTTTTGATAATAAACAGGAAAAGCATCCCACCACCATGTCATCCTCACAAGGTGGCCCTCAGGCAAGTAACAAAACAAAATCAAGCACCCAAACAAACCAACCCTCCTTCTCTTTGAGAAAGGGCAAACACAAAGCAACAAGTGAACAGGACGAGGAGCTCCCAACTCCAAGTCAATTACCTGTGCAAATCACATTCAACATTATCCCCACAGACACAGAAGGTATTAAGATCCTCTCCTATGGTATGGAAACAGACAACTCTCCTCCCAGCTCCCTTCCTACTGGATTTCAGGATTCAGATACAGAAATTGACAACTGGTATTCTATAAACGAACAAGAACTTGGCAAAGAACAAAAGGCTACTAATAATTAACAAAGGGAAAAAACCTCTTGCAAATCTTTCGGTCCAGCTACTGACTGGCAAACTGAATATAGTAGACGTCGTTACAAGAAAATCATCAATCTAGATACTGTTCCGGGTAAAAACCCTAAGGAAAAAATGAATACTCTCTTAGCAGAACTTGCACAATTCGAATCTCTCACTTCTCTCAAACACGGCACAGAAAAAAACATCTCCATTACAATTGCCTTTTTTGGTTCTGCAAAAGAAGCAGGAAAGGCAGCTAATATTACACTACATGATGGTACCACAATTCACCTCACAGCCACAGAGCTAACCAACACAAATGAAATCAAATCAAGAATGGTACGTGCATAGGACATTCCCCTGAGTACTACAATATCTGAAGTGCATACAGTCTTCTCCAAATATGAAAAAATCAACAACGTGAAACTTCACACAGAAGGCATGTGGCAATCTGCCACCATTGAGTTTGTCAATAAGGAAAATTACAATGAAATCACACAACGCTGGTCCATTCCTTTTAAGGCAGATCTAATTAGGATCTTCCCATTTTTAAGAACCAATGAAATTAAACAACACCGTGATCAGTACACAGCAAAACTAACCAATCTTCCATCAGGAACAACAGGCTATGATCTCAAAAAGATCATCAAAAACACAGGGGCCAAAACTTGCTACATCCCTCGCAATCGCAATTACTTAAGAAAAAGATTCGCCATTCCCAGTTTCAAAAATCACGAAGACAAAGAAAATGCAAAACAAACTACTCCCACTCTTGGTAACACACAACTAGCATGGTTCGAGCTCGCTGATAAAATTTGCCCCATCTGCTCAAATCATGAACATTCAGCAATGGATTGCCCAATCAAACAGAAAGCAATTCAAAGAAAATCTACAATGCAACAACAAGCCAAGTCTTTTGGAACCCTATATCAGAGATACAAGCTGGCTGGCACAGCAAATATTCGCAAAATAATCCCTCGCAACAATCAATCAACTTATGCACAAATGGTCAAAACCCCCAACTTCAATTCAAAAACACTGTTGGTCAACAACACCAAACCTCTCCTCACAAGCGACTCCCAATCAACAATCTTAACTGCAATCAATAACCTTGCCCAGAAATTTAACCTGATCAAACAAAGCATCAATGATATGAACAAAAGAATCGAATACTTAGAAGATTTTGCCTATTATCACTCCAGTGAATGTGACTTGGGCACTGACCAACAAGAGACAGACAAGAAAAAAATCGAATCAGGATTTCACACACCAATCTTCTCATCACAACAAGAAACAGACAACCCCTTTGATTACCAACGCAAGAGACAAGTTATCAGCCTCCCTAATGACATTAGACAAATACAAGCCAACATTAACAACAATATTCTCTGCCTGGAATCCAATATGAACAAACTTATCTCTACAATCAATACTTCAATGAATAGCACCCCAACTATTAGCGACAACAACCCCACTCCTGAAATTCAATGACAACAAACAACCTCTCCATAAATAAACCTCTGGACATTTGAAACATTACAACAATTAACACTCGCGGACTCAACAACCTCAGTAAATGATCCCTCTGGTTCTCATACATTTCAAGATCTAATTATCAAATCATAATCCACACAGAAACAAATAAAAAAACTGATAAATCCAAATTTTGGAAAATACAAAACTATCAATCTTGGTGGACTAATGATATCCAATCACAATCTCAAAACATCAGATTTGGTGTAGGAATTTCCATCACCAATAAATTGGTACAAAGAGTTTTTAAAATACAACAATGGGAAGGATGAGTCATTACTCTTGATCTGTCCTTTCCACATAACAGATATCTCAGGATAATAGCACTATACTACCCAGCATCATCAATAAAAGAAAGGCAACGCACATCTAATCATATAAAAAAATTGATCAGAGAAGCAAACACTAAACAATGGAACACAATCATAGCATGAGACTTCAATGCAGTTTCCAATCTACAACTTGACAAAAACTCAACCAATCCAACACGCACTTCTAATAACAAACCTACTAGTGACTTAATCAAATTTCTAATAAACAACCAGTTTATAGATACTTATCGTGACACATATCCAACCCTCAAAAAGTTCATCTGGTCAAATAACAGAATGATGCAAAGTAGAATTGACCAAATATGGATCAGTCCG